TTGAAGCTACTTAGATATTTTGCTGCTGTGAACCCTAATTGTCATACTGAAAAATCAACAATAGAAGCTACAAAAAGAAAGAGGCTCTTAAATAAACCTTTTAAAACTCTCTTTGTAGAAATTATCAGAAATGAATTGCTGACCAGATTAATTTCAGCTCGGTTGTGATGGAGGAAAATCCAAACCAAGACAGAGCTAGGATGAATTGTCAGGCTTCAGTTTACAAAGGTCAAGAGGAAATGGATGGATGGCTGTCTTTGCAGAATGATACATCCTGTTATTTGGGAAAATCATGTGAAGAGAGATGATGGACCTTCTGAACAGTAAGGTCAGCTGCTGGGTCTGTTTAGAAAAAGAGGGGAAAGGATGAGGCTGAAAATCTGAGGACCTGGGCAGATTTACATAAATATCTGGGTAGTTGCTCCATTACACTTTTAAAAATATCAGAAAACAATCATCTGGGTGTGGGAAGAACTTGGTAGGAAAGCACGTATCTCTGTTCAGTTGGCAGGACGTTCTCTGTGTTGGTTGAAGTCATTGTAAATTTCGCGGTTTCAAAAAAATCATTCAGCAGAAATCTATGCCGGAACTGTCAGACGGGCTGAGGAACAGGAGGGCATGTTGTCCATCTAGCAGGAATCAGTGACTTGGCCTCATACTGGAGTTACTGGGGGCAACTGCTTGGAATAGGGACCATACTTGAGTCATTCTAGTTAAGTAACAAGGAATTTCAAGAAAAACTAAAATTCAGTTCAGTGGGACTTCAGAAACCTATGCTGTGAAGAAGAGGCTAAGAGAGTTGACATTATGCAGTCAAGATGTGCGGAAGTGAGAAAAGACGGCTTCATCCTGCCGTTAGGCGGAGGATTTTAGGAGAGGGTTTGGATAGGTCTCTCTGCCTCTGAAATAGTGTCTTAGAAGCAGCAGGCTCTGCTCTGCCTCTGTTCAGAGTACTCCGCCAGGAGAAGCGCTGCACCGCAGAGGAGTTCCTTGATTGTCATAATAACAAGCTAGTGCAGTAGGCTAGTGAGGAAATGTATGCAGTTCTTTTTGCTAAAAATTATCTAGAGACAATCAGCTCTCTGCTGAGAGTAATCAGAACATTTCAGGGTATTGAAGATAGTTGGGATAGGTAACCTGGGGACTCTTTTCGTCTCAGATATTATGCATATTGTGATTGAAAGGGCATTATAGCCAAAGAAAAGTGGTAGGGTAGCCGAAAAACCTTGAGCAGACCTTGTAGGTAACTTGTGAGACAGTTTTACTTTAGAGCTGTCGGTTTTTAATAGAGGTACTGGGGATTGAACCCAGGACCTCGTGCATGCTAAGCATGCGCTCTCCCCTCCCCCTAGAGCGGCCCCTTTTGTTATTCTCTGTTTGCACTGCTCTTTCTTCACCTGCTCAAGATGCAAGCAATAGTGTTTAACCTTCCTCATGCAAATATTGCCATGCCTCCCAACTCACTATAGAGCTTTGACCTGAAACAAGATGTTTCACTTTGTCGATCATTTCTGTTGCTGTTACTTCTCTGAGAAACATTTTCCTCTCCTATGATGGCAGCGACATTATTATTGATCCTTGGAAACCACTCTCTCAGACTGACAGCTCCCTGTGTTTATGATTTCTGATTTTGAGAGTTCTCCTGAGATGCTCTGTGTTTCCGGGCTGTTCTTAGTCCAGATACCACCTTCCCGAGGAACTGTGAGAATTAAATGAGTTAATGTGTGTAAAGGTCCTAGGCTGGCCTGGCACAGAGTGAGTGTTCCGTAAGTGGGGGCTACTGTCACTGTTGTCTCTTTTCCACGTGTGGCTTCTCTGTGTGCGTGTGTTGCTAGTGCTTCGTTCTAAGTCAGAAGGGGAGGTGAAGTCGGCCCATTGGTGGGACCTCAGGAAAAGAACAGACCTGCTCAAGCAGAAAGATTGTAGTCACTTCAAAGTATAGTTTTGGAAAATCTCTTTAAATCTAACCAACACACAATGGAAAACCCCTTAAGAACCAATCTAATTATTTAATTAAATGGAACCGTTCTGCTGACTTTTACTACAGAAGGCAAGCATAATTTAGAAAATGGGGCATTTTAATTCTCTTTTGTTTTCCAATTAACACAATTGCTCTAAAAGGGGGTCCTGGAGCTTCAAGATGCATGTTCTGTGAGTACATATACCATACATAATTTCTTTCTCTCTCATCAAAAAAAAAAAACAACCCACCTCACCTGTTGACGTAGAGTTTCATTTATTACAGTGCTCAGGCTGCCCAGATTACAAACTCAGAGCAAATGTCCTCCTGCCATCAAAGCTGCCCTGGGCCGGGCAGACCCGTGTGCAGCCTCCTTTCCCCGCCGGCTGTAATTAGGACGTTGAAGTAATGGAGCTCTCACTGTTTTGCTGATGCCAGCTTACCGTGGCAGACCACAGGAGTTTACTCGTAGTCGAAAGTGGTAAAGAAAATGCCAGGAACATTCATTTTAATTGGTCAACATGATATGGACCTCAGTGCCACTGTTTTACCGTCCTCTGTTTCTGATTTCTTTCTGCCACCAGCCGTCAGCGTATTGTGGTGGATTTTCTTATCAGCATTTGATTATCCTTTTATTGTTATTTTGATTGTTACTCCATTATGAATTATTATTTAGAAAGTTTCATCCTCTTCTGTTTCCTTACCTAAGTAACAGTTTCATCTGCTCTAATGTTTATTAAATTCTACAGGAAAGACCGACACTTCCACATCGATGAGAAATTAGTTTTTCATTAGAGAGTCCCTGAGACTAAGATAGATGGCAAAGAGATTTTTTCCTTAAATGCCTGCTTTGATGCTGATGTTTTGTAGTTAAAAAGGAAAAAAAAGGGTCATATGGGTAGTGTGTGGGGGTAGTGGTGGTGGTACCAGTGATTCTTTAGTGTAACTGGACATGTTTTCTTCTGCATTGATGGACTGATTGCCCCCTGAACTCTGGAAAACGTTTAATTTGTTACTCCAACATGGAAAAGGCCACATAAAATAGGAGAGAATGGTAAAAGAGAAATGTGTGATCTTTAAAAAGTGAACTCACTATTCTTAAACGTCTTGGTAGGATCCAGGAAGTTAGACACTGGTCTGAATGTAGGACATGTGGGCTTTGCCTTCAGAGTTGATGTAACACTTGTAAACGGGACCCTTCAGAGTAGTCTTTTAGTTACACAGAACTGCCGCCGAGGGTGTAAGGCGTGAGCAGTGGCTGAGTTCCTCTCTGGGGTCCCTGCTCCCTCTCCCTCTCCCCCTCCAGAAGCCCTTCGCACAGAGCCCTCAGAGGAGGACAGGGGCAAGTTGTTCTGACAATCTCCTCTGCATTGCTTTCTTCCTTTAGTCAGATTGAGGACGTTCATAAATAAATATTAAAATGGGAAACTATTTCATGCAGAGATGATGCGGAAGAGACAGTTAGGAAGATCAGGAATAAGCATGCCTAACTCGTGTCAGATGACAAAACTGAAAGAGGGCAGCAAAGAGTCTGATGTGCTTTATTCAAAGGAAACAATCCATGGATTGAGAGGGTGCTCGCCACTGGGGTTTTGGGCAGGTTTTCTAGAGCATTAGAAGTGGCAGCATGGAAACGGCATGATTGGTTGCGACTGCATACCTGCCCTTATTTAGAAAAATCAGAGAACGAGGAAATGAGTATAGAGCCCAGAGCTGGCTTTGCATTTGGGGACTGGCTGACTGGATGCTGTGTTTCTGGTCAAGCCAGAGCATTTACAGCAACACGAAAGTTCAGTCTGCTGATGGGGCTCTCCAGGCAGGGATGGCTCCATCTTGGGTCCAGAAATTTATTTAAATACTGGAGTTTTTTTTTTTTAATGAGTGAGAAATAGATAAAATGAGAGAGAAATTTAAATTAATTGCAACAGCCAGAAGACTTTGACATGAAGGATAAAAAAAATAGGAAGTGTTTTGCAAAACAAAGGATTTATAGTTTGTAGTGATATTGAGGAAGTCCATTTATTTGCATATAAACTGGTCATTTAAAGTTCATAATTTAAGAAGAAGGTGTATCTTTAAATTAACTTGAAGTTTTTGTATTTTTTTAAAAATAGTTTTTAAGGATCAAGAACAGGGCTTGAAAGAAAATAAAAGTTGCTCCGATTTTTATGGAGAATTGATTTTCTGACCAAATATACTCTGAGTAATTATGAGGCTGACATAATAATGACTCTCATTTATTGGATGTTCACCCTAAGCTAGAGGTGAATCAACTATAGACCATGGGCCAAAGCCAGTTGGTCACAGTTTATGTAAATAAAGTTTATTGGAACATGGCCGTGCCTTTTTGTTTATATTCACACTACAAAGGCAGAGTTGAGGCATTGTAACAGAGATGGTATGGCCCTGCTAAGGCTGAACTATTTCCTATCTGGACCTTTGCTGAAAAGGTTTGTCAACCTCTGATTTAAGGTAAGCACTGTTTTCTACATGCATTATGTCATTTCATCCTTACAGCATCTCTGGGAAATCAGTGTCCTACCCTTCTTTCACAGGTGATGACACTGAGGCTTAAAGACTTTTCGTGTCCTGCCCAAGGACCCCCAGCTAAGTGGAAGAGTCTGGACTTAAATCCATGAGATCTCTTTTGTAGGGCCTGCACACTCCCTCTGGGTCCAGTTTCTTTGTCACTGGGCTTCAGAGACGTGGCACATCATGCTGGTTAACTGTAAGGAAGACTCTGGAGCCAGATCCTTTGAATTCAAATGACTTTGGGCAACAAATGACTTAACTTCTTTGCCTTTCAGAATGGAAACATTAGCAAACATTACTATTATTAACCTCTTGTTTTGTAGATGGGATTCTGAGCCTCCAGAAATTCTTTTAAGTTTTCAGAAGACCTGAGTTTACAATGAGTACAGCGTTACTCCAGTGCTAGGCAGATACCACATGTTTCAGGGGGATGATGGCTTTTGAAAGGTGAACTAATGAATCAACTGTTAATGTGTGTGTGTGTGTTTTTTTTAATTTTAATTCTCAGGTCCTTCATCGGCAGCAGTCTCAGCCAGCCAAGGAGAGCTCCCCTCCCAGAGAAGAAGCGCCTCCCCCGCCTCCGCCGACTGAAGACAGCTGTGCCAAAAAGCCCCGATCTCGCACAAAGATCTCTTTGGAAGCCCTCGGGATCCTCCAAAGCTTCATTCATGATGTGGGCCTGTACCCCGACCAGGAAGCGATCCACACACTTTCTGCTCAGCTGGATCTCCCCAAACACACCATCATCAAGTTCTTCCAGAACCAGCGGTACCATGTGAAGCACCATGGGAAGCTCAAGGAGCACCTGGGCTCGGCGGTGGACGTGGCCGAGTATAAGGACGAGGAGCTGCTGACGGAGTCCGAGGAGAATGACAGTGAGGAAGGCTCGGAGGAGATGTACAAAGTGGAGGCTGAGGAGGAAAATGCTGAGAAGAGCAAGGCCGCGCCTGCCGAGATCGACCAGAGATAATGTGAACTCCTACCAGGCAAAGCAATACATCGGTCCAAGGATTTTCTGTTTTAGTTTCTTTAAAAACTTTTTTTTTTGCTTTATTTTATTTTTGTCTTTTTTTTTTTTGGTCTATTTTGTTTTTCTTACCTTTTTTGATATTTCTTTGTTGCACAGGATACACCTGTAGACTGAATGAGTTCAGTATTTCCGAATCAGACATCGCCTTGGCAAAGACACTTAAGTGTTACGCTTTTACAATTGACTGGATCATAGTAATTAAAATCACGGGAGACTCTGCCTTCATTTTCCTCGCACTCATGGAAGAGACACCAGGCAAGTTCCAGGATGAGAAGACCTACAAAGTAAATGAAGGAAGCTACAAGTGTGTGTGTATATGTATATGTATATATCTATATATTTACATATATATATTAAATTGCATGGGACAGAGAACTTTACAATCTGAAAGAATAGACTGTGAAATGAGTTCTTAAAGAAGAGACTTGTTTATGTATTAAAAAAAAACCACTTCACAGTGAGTCGCTTTGGCTTTTTGATAAACTGCGGCCTGCTCTCAGGGTGGGGTGACTATTTTTGAATTCCTATTTATTTTCTGTATTTGTCCCTGATTTTTTTTAATTCTATGGCTTCCTATCTGGCAGCTTGATGGGTAATTTTTGAGGTATGTATTTAACAAAATAAATCAACACTGCCAAAAAAAATGAATGAAAGAAAGAAAGAAGAAAGTAAAGTGAAAAAGAAATCAGGGCACCTTAAAATGATACAAGTCAAATTAATGTTAAAGACACAATGCACACTTAAAATGACTCAATGTGTCCGTTACTCAACTTGTCATTACTGTAGTGAACAGATGAATTTCTGTGGAATTCCAAATGAGTCAAACTGAAATTCAGTACAGAGGAAAACTTGTCCATTAGTGCAGTCTCGCTAAAATGACATTTTGACGTTGGACGTATGGAATTCATAGTGTGAGCCACATTTTATTGTGAAATTTATTTACCTGCTCGTGGCTTCAAATCTTGAAATTAATAAGCCTGCTCATTTTAAAGTTGTTTATTGTTGCTGTTTTCTTTTTCTTTTTTTTTTTAATAGAAAATAGTTCAATGTAATGTTAAGTTAGAAAAGAAGTTGCTGCCCAGTTAATGGGGCTCCCTCTCAAATCAATCTCATTCCCTCCGTCTCCCGAAAGACGTTTCTCATGTCTGTTTCACTCTGGGCTTCCTCTTCTCCGCACACCTCCCATCCACCTAACCAGATGTCTTTGGTCCCTGCTCTCACGAGCCTCACCCCTTCCCTGGTCTAGGGGCAGCCCTAACAGGAACCTGGTTTTGAATCATTGTGCAGCTCTGGGCAATAGAGTAAGCGAAGCAGTTTCAGTGGAATCACCTACTCATCATAAACGGAAACATTGTCCCAGTTACCTACATAGCAATTACCTTACGTAAAGCAGAACTAATGCCGTCTGGCTGTTGAGTGGAATGAGCATTAAAGCTGCACATCTACTATAGTCCTCCCAGCCACCCCTGGCTTCCCAGCAGGAGCACCAGTAGCCTCCCTTCCCACGTCCACTCCTAGTCATTGCAAGAGGAGACCTCACCTCCAGGACTGGCCGAGAGAACCGAATCCATGCTTCAAGGAGGCTGCCAAACACTCCACGCGGTTGGATCTTTGTTTTGTTTTGTTTTGTTTTGAGTTGTGCTCTCATGCAACCTTGTCAAAGACCTCATGCAATATCACTTTGAAAGTTATTTTCTGTTTACTACACAAACATTGTAATATAACTGTTAATACTATTTATATATTTGAAAGGTATAAAAGGTCGGAGTTAAAAAAAAACCTCTATGTGTAGATAATAACTCAGAACTTACCATTTACAGGGAGAAGACATGTTGCAATACAAGCTAATTCTAGCTGCTCAGTAACCTCTGGAGTTTTTAAAGGGACATTTTCCTGTACTTTTTCAAATAACGATGTTTAAAAAATTATCTTGACATGAGCGTCATATACCTTTGCAAAAGGATGGTGGTTTGCAGTGAAGCCCTGGGCCCATCCTTCCTATTTCTGTAGTATGCTGCAGCTTTAATCAGAAAGTCCATGGTTGCTGCTTCCTGATCTCCGAGTTACTCTTTCCAAATTGTCTTCTTACACTGTTGCTGAAGGTCACTCTGTACACGTAATGGAAACTGATTTTGCCAAGCTCTTACAAGGTGGTTCATCGATCGATGGCATCCGCATTTGGTATCTTTTACACTTCAACCAAAAATTTATTAGGTATTTTTCAATGCTAAGTCTTGCCTTTTATTTTTTAATTTCACTGCCAAGTTTGCAGTGGTTCTAAGTGAATCTGTGGGCATTTTAGCCTGTGGTCTTGCCAGATCTTTGCGAATTACAATGCATATATGTCTATTTATTCAATATCTGTCATATAATATCTATTTGGAAGAAGAAACTTTCTCTTGTAGTGCCTCTTGACAAAGCACAATTTCCCGCCTTTTTTTTTTTTCGTGAAATGAAAAAACAAATTGTGTTTTATTGCGGTATCAACAATGTGAATAAGGATTAACATATTGTAAATGTTCTTTTTTCCATGTAAATCAACTATCTTTGTTATCACTAAGTGATAATTAATTTTTAACTTATGTGCATTGTTAGGCTGTTAGAATTTTTTGGTTGTTAAAATAAAAAGCATTCAAAAAAAGTGACTGTGTTTGTCAGGTGTTTTACTGGGCATTGCCATCTTTCCCATTTAATTTTTCACGTGGAGTGAGACCTGGTGAGTGTAAGGAAAGTCCATCCCTGATTTACAAAGTAAGACAGCAGTAGCTGCAGTTACAGATGTTTGAGTCCTGCCCAGTGCAAGAATTTCACTGGACATGTGAAGGCATGTGCATCTCTGTGTGTCTGTAAACGTATGCAAGCTCACATCCTGGAGCTTGGAACTGGGGGAGTCATTTATCTAAATGTTTTGTTGTATACAAACAAAACTCAGTGTATTAAGGTATGTTTATGGGCTTGCTTCTTTATTTTTCTAGCGAGTATTTTCTGTTTATAATTAAAAAACCACAAATGATTGCATGTCAGGAAACTTTTGGAGCACATATGTCCATGGTTAATGGACATAATAAAAGTCTTTTATATTTAGAGCTGGGTACCATAATGTGTGCATAGAGGAATGCCGGAAGGATTGATGTATCTGAGAAATGTGTGAAAATGAGTTTTTAGAAAATGCTTACAATGGAAAAAATTGCTCAAAAGACTAAAGTTAATAAGGAAAAAACAAGTGCTTAGCTTCAGAACCAGCAAAGAGAAAGTCAATTAAAAAGTGATTTAATTTTCTTTTGATACTATAAATTGTCTTTCCTGGTTTTGTTTTTTGGTTTTTTTACATTTGGTAGACATACAAATGTAACTTTTCTTTTCTTTCTTCCTCAGTTTCACTTGCTTTTCTTTTTCCTCATGATAGTTAACAGCCCAGGGACTGTATAGATATGTTTTAAGGGCAGTCTGTGGAAACTGGGTGTTTGCAGAAAGACAGTCCCAAGACACAGAGTGCTGAAGGTTTTTAAAGAAAAATTAGAGATTCAATAGATGATTATGTAAATGTAAAGGAATTCTGCATTGAGATAAAGACATGGAAGTAAAGTGTGTGTGCGGTAATCTGACTTTTAGCACACGTGCTTTCCATCTGCATGAGGTTGTGTTTTGGGGAGGTCATATGTTACCGGAGGTGACAAACTCACGGAGGCTCTGCCCACGGATGGATTGGCTTTGGCCTAGAAGGAGGTCTATGTGCTAGCAACTTTTATTTCTAAGAAAGCAAAGCCAGAGATGTCTTGACCATACATTAAGTCATGACATCTCAGAGCCATCATTGTCTTTTTCTTCCTTAGAGGAGATATTTTTCTTTGTACTGTTATTTCCCTTTCTGAAAGCTTTTTGAAAAAGATTTGGAAGTCCCTACATTTTTTTCTAAAAGCAATCATGGCATAATCAGACAGTAAACATTTAGTAAACATGTACTATATGCCAGATAATTTGCTAAGAACTGAGGTGACAAGGAAAAAGTGTGACCTGATACTGTGCCCTCGAGAGCTAATAACTTGTTGAAAAGTTATGATGTAAATCTAGAAAAAGTGAATATGTCACACAATGGTTGTTTCCAGGCAGATATTTATTTGTTTAGTGAGTGGTAAAAATATGTGCTATAATTTAGAGAAGGAAATTATCATTATTTGTGAGCTAGAATGGTCTTAAAAAGTGTATCACTTAGGATTGGCTGCATATAATTTAAAAAAATAATGCAAAGTAGTAATGACCCAGACAAGGGAAGAGTTTACCTTTTTCTTACATAGTAGAAATTGTTGAGATAATCTGACTTTACATGGTTGTCAGGGACTCAAACTCCTTCTATTTCCCAGCTCCAGTTCTTCCTGTGTGCCTGTGTTCTCTCTTCCTCGTGGTCTAAAATGATTACCAGAGCTCTCATTATCACACCCACCTTTCAGACAACATGATGGAAGAAAGAGTAAAGAACGGCATACTCCATCTCTTTTATGGAGATGTACTCAAGTCCTACACCTGAATGCAAGTGGATATTTGGTAGGCAACTCATAGCCTCTGCAAGAGAAGGTATCAAGAAGGATGTTGAGGATAGTAGACAGAAGATAAGTGAAATGGCACATTTGCCCTGCTGTTACTCCCTGTACCTTGCAACTCTTCGTCCTCCACCCTGAGTCCTTTTCCTGGCTAACTTTAAGAATCAGGGCAAACGTCATTTCTTCTGGGAAACCTCACTGATCTGCCCTGCCAGTGTGAGTACAAATCCTTCTCTGCTCACATAGCAACCACAGTATTCTACCATCACAGGGCTGTCCCAATGCTCGTGGCATATTGTGGTTGCTGTGTTTGCTCAGTGGGAAAGTGTGAGATCTATCTTTCCATCTATCTACGGAGAGAATAACAGGGTAGGCAGGTGGAAGTGGCACAGGCCTGGTAGGTGTAACGATGTTTCCCCTGGAGGAGCATGTCCAGGACTGGCATATTGAGTCAGAGACAGAAATGAAGAACAAGAAATGCCACAAGGGCCAGGTGACTTAGAATCCTGCCAACTCTATTGCAGGGAGATAGTAGAGCCAGTCTCTAAAGCCAAGCCTGCATGACTCCAAAGCTTACATTTTCCCCCAGTATCACACCACCTCTTTTTCTCATGTCCTAGAATGTCCTAGAAAGACTGTATGAACTGAACATCAATTTATTGGCCAATATATTTTATATGAAACGACCTTTTGACTTCTTTAACACACTTTTCCATAATCCTGTCTGAGTATGACATTTCTGGTGGAGTTTTGTTCTGAAGGAAAAACCTATTTTAAAAAACACCATGGTCTGCTAGCAAAACCATCCCAGAAGAATGAATCTAGAAGTAGCTTCTTCGGCGACATTTTAAGAGGTTTAAAGTGTTACCTTCACATATGGAGAAACAATTACAAAAATATTCCATTAGCACTGGATAGTACAGAGAAATGATTAATTAAAGAGAGATCTATAATTTATTCACTACCCATTAACAAGCATAATCCCATGTTAACACAAAACAGTACGCACTAAGGGGGTCCTGGGAGGCTCAGCAGCAATTTTGCACCGTACAGTCCTAGGAACCCTTGCCCACCTTAATTAAAAGCTAAGGAGACAGTTCTTTCTAGCTTGAATCTCTCTCAAGTTGACTGTGAGAAAGCAGTGAGCTATCCTAGTATCTATTTTGTATCAGTCTTGCAGCTGAAGTTATTTTCAGATCCTCAGTTTCTTTATTCATAAAATGGGGTGAATAATTCATATCTCTCAGAACTGTTGTTATGATTAAATCAAACAACTATGTAGAAGCGCCTAGAACAAATCCTTTCTTCCTTCCTTTCAAGAGAGAAAGAGAAGCAGGATATGGTAAAATGTTACAAAGGACTTAAAATGCTTCAATAAATTTCAGAGCAGGATCGCGTCTGATGTTTCTGAAAGTTGTTTTACGTGATTGAAAGCACCTGAGTCTGAAGGGCTGCTGTGCTGTTGTTTGCTGCCTTTGTCCCTCTTTGTCCCTCTCTTTCTTCCACTCTTATTACAATCTCTTTCTGTCCCTCCCTCCCTTCTCCTCCTTCCTTCTTCCTGTCTAGAGGCATAATATGGTTTTCCTTCTAAATTAGGAAGAAAGGAAAAAAAGAGATGATTTACTAAAACTGCCTTCCGAAGTCTGCAGTATTAGACGTGTCAACACGAATGCCCTCCACTCTCTGCTTTTCCTCCTTTTTCATTCCTGCTCGTTTCTGGTGTGTTTTGGATCCCCTCTTTTCTCTCCTGCAGGCTGAATGCTCAGTGCCTGGGGGCCTTCTCTGGTCCTCCTCTTGCCCGACCAACACTCCTTCCTCATCCACTATTGTGATACTAAGTGGACCCGTATGCTAACGACAACACTCCA